GTACAAAAACAACACACTCAAATATATTGATGCAGGTAGCTAGAATTTTTTATTTGATCATGCTGTTCCCTCTCCAGGTTCTCCAGGCGATGGGCTACCCAACAGGGTTCGACTCAGACCTGGACCCCATGAGTTCAGACGAGAAGTCAGACGGGGAGGGGAAGAGCGAGACGTCATCACACACGAGCAATAACCCCACACACGCCTCGGACAATTCCAACACACTGGAGGTGAGGATTGAGAAACAAGGGATGATACAAAACTGCACACACTCAAATGCTTTTTCCTGTCTCGGAATGTTGATTTCTAACTATTACAAATAAAACACTTGTGTTCAAGCTCTTCAAAACATACAGTTGTGCTCACGCTAATTCTCCACTGTTTGCTTTCTAATACACTATACTTTTAAATGATAAGACTTTAATTATCTCCTCAGGTGCGAACTCAGGGTCCGATACTGACGGCGAGTGGGAAGAACCCCGTCATGGAGCTAAACGAAAAGAGACGAGGCCTCAAATACGAACTCATCTCTGAAAGTGGAGGCAGTCACGACAAACGCTTTGTGATGGAGGTGAGCTTCACGGTGCCTATGAAAAGATATTAAACATGTATATGTGTAAGAGAGTATATTTCTTTATGCACATGCCATTTAGCGATGGGGAGAAACATACACACACACACACACACACACACACACACACACACACACACACACACACACACACACACACACACTCACATACTCAGAAGCAGGCTGATCTCCGGTTGTGTCAATCAGTCATCTTGGTTCAGGGAGCAGGCCTGTTCTCTGTTGGGTGTGTTGTTTTCCGACATGCCTGGCCGCTCCATCGCTCCGCTGATTGATTAGTAAGGCTGCCTGACAGCAGGGCCTCGCTAAACAAGCCGTCCTGTTCAGCCAGACTCACTGGCTGAGTAAGTCATGACTGTAAAAAAAACATGGGTTTTGAACAGATTGATTGTACAATTGTTAGTTTTGTTAAAGCTGTGTTATTTGGGGAAACCACAAATAGAAGTGATAATGAAACTAGAAAATTATTTTTAACCAGATGCACAAAATGCAAAATGTTTCTTTTATCCATAAGTAGTCTTAAAGCATATTTGATTAACATGTTACTTTCGTTATGTGTGTGTTTGTGTGTGTTCATGTCAGGTGGAGGTTGATGCACAGAAGTTTCGTGGGGCAGGCCCCAATAAAAAAGTAGCAAAGGCCAGTGCTGCTCTAGCGGCTCTAGAAAAACTCTTCTCTGGTCCAAATGCAGCTGTAAACAAGAAAAAGAAGATATTGCCTCAGGTAAGGAAACACACACACACATACACATACACATACAAACACACACACACACACACACACACACACACACACACACACACACACACACACACACACACACACACACACACACACAGTACATACCAGACACTGCTTCCATATGGGGCTTTAAAGCAAACAGTATCAAACCTATGATCAATACAACCTGTAGCAGTCTTTCTCATGAGCCAAACTGTCCATGTAGCTTTAAAGATGATAACATTTAAACGTCTTTTTATTCTGTGGAGCAATTATTCCCACTTTGTTCACTCATCATTTATCAGTGGCACTGGGATCCATACGTTATCAGATCACAGTTTATCACACCGTTATCAGATCGACATGTTTCCTCCTGACTTCTCACTGAGCCTGTGTGCATGCTGGTTTGTAAACAGCACGTCTTTGTCCAGACAAAAGGAGTCCTGGCGGCCGCGGCCGCCGCCTCGGCAGTAGCAGCTCAGGTCGCCCGAGGAAGAGGAAGAGCAGCCCTCGCGAGAGGAGCCTTCGTCAGCGCCGCAGCACCAGGATATGTCACTCCAGGTAGTGAGATCTTATGTGAGATATGAAAGATTACAGTACTGATGGTATTTTCTTTATGTTGGTGCATTGTTCAATAATATACAAATCATTTCAAATACCCTTCAATTCCTGTCTTTTAGTTTTGATTTCTGATCAGAATTGTATTAATTATCAGAATCAGAAACAGGTTTATTACCAGGTAGGCTTACACGTACTGTACGAGGAATTTGACTTGATGTCATGGTGCATACATAAAAAATGACATAAAATATTAGAAATAATTAAAAGTATAGTAAAATAATGCAGTATTTACATAGAAATAAAATGGAAAAAATAAATAAAATATGTAATAAAATACGGTAGTAATAAAAAGAATAGTGCTGAACTTTCACTAATATTATATAATATATTCACTAACCCTAACTTTCACTAATATTATATAATATATTCACTAACCCTAATGTGTGCCAGTGAGGGAATATACAGTATCTAATCAGGTAGAGGTTTTAGCTTCGCCTCAGGTATTCCAACCTTTAACCACAGCTGTCTGCTAGAGTGCAGAAACACTGATCTAATCTCACTGAAGATGTAGAAAAATGCAGCCTGGAATTGAAAGTGCGCAATTGAATTAGACCCTGTCACCCCTTCCCCAACAGGCTTTGGGGCACCGTATGGCTACAGCCCCGCTGCAGCAGCTGCTCCTGCATACGGTACGTGCTTCTTCTTTCCTGTCGACTCATTTCACCTTCTTTCTACCGTCTTAAAGCTTCTTAACATCTCTTCCCTCTTAACCAGTCAATTCCCTTTCAACCCAACATAGCATAGTGGGTTTGTTAATTATTCAGTAGGTTTATCTCACACTAACCATTCTTCTCAACCCTGTTTTGCTTCAAAACTTGATCCCATTTTATTCCATGTTGTGGGATTTGGCGCTGAGCTTCAATAACAACTAATTCAAGTTTAAACTGTCACCTCTTTGTTGCATAATTCAAGCTAATCCATCAGCACTTTGGCTTACCCGTCCGCTCAGCACATCTTACTCACTATCTCATCTCATATGGGCTGAAACCGATGATGACACACACATGCACTTATTGAATTAAAATAGAAAAGAGTCGAAACTCTAACTAAGCTTTCCTGCGCTGATAATAACCCAGACCTATTCTCCGTACTGCTGCATCTTCATTTCTGTTGAGATGAGCAGAGTGTCAGTTCCTCACTTTACCAGCTGTTATTTAAGACAAGGTGGCAGGTCAGCTCCTGTCATGTTACTGCTGCTCCAGGGTTTCTATGTCCTCACTGCTGAAAGTGCCCACTGCACTCCCTCCCACACACACATGCATAGGCTATAATCTATACTAGTCCTTGACCTTTGACAGCATCGGTATTGGTGCAAAAACCACTCACACATGCGTCCTTCTGTCACACACAGTCACAGTTACTCCCACAGACTAAGCCTTGTGCAGTGTGTGCACACATGGGAGGCCTCTCAGATTTGAATGAGTCTTATGTGCTAAGAGAAACTGATCTGGGGCCCCCGGCAGACGTCTAGTACCCCGGTGAGATCCTGACTGCCCTGAACATAAAGTGAGCCTTCGTTTCTCTGTTTGTCGTGGAGCTCGGTTTCATTCGGTTTCAATTCAATCCCTGGGATCTGTATTATTTATTAAATGTAATTGTGACCTTAATGAAATACTCAAAATACAATCCAACAAGCACATTAAAGTGACTTTTATAACTACTTCTTTAACTTATCTTTTTAAGTGTCCTATTTGCCATGACATCCAATATATTTGGAGTGGCAGTCAGTTAGGGCCATCGTGCCTGGCCAATGAAAAGACTTGGCGATGAAATGCAGTGTATCTTCAGTGGGAGTGATGAAGAGTTATTGGTATCTCACGGTTTGCTTCTCTGCCCCGGTGAATCATCAGAACATTTCACGCACCATGGTGGGTGATCAGCGTGAGTTCAGCTCACCCTGAGCTTTAACTACCTACGAGTCGGTAGGAATTCATGTTATTTGAAAAAGTAAAGATAAACACGAAAAGTTACATTTAACTCCATATTAGGTCCTGAAATGAAATGTGACATCCTCCCAATTTGCGTCAGCACAGCATGTAAACTGAGACTTTGCTCTACTAGACTCTGTAAAGCTTTGCCTGCCATCATGCAAGAGATCCTGTGAACGATCCAATCCAAAATATATGCACAATAGTAAATATACCTGCTGTTAAGACTCGTCAATGTGGAAATTAATGTTTCTTTTGTACCCAGTTGACTTGCATGGCTGCAGATAAAGAGAGGTATAAGAGATATTGTGTTCTTATTATTTAATCCACTTACTAAAACAAGTCCAAATGGGTAAAACAATCTTTGTGTTGGCTCCATCAGGGCCTACATTTCAATCAGTCGAGAAATGACAACATTGGGGACTAGGCCTCTATCTCTTGGAAACAAAGCTTTTACCTTGGTCCCTGCTTTTCACTGTCCTCTGCTTTGGGCTTTCGTGTTGGCAATAATAACACATTATAAAACTGGCTCACAGGAACGCTAATGCATACTGTAAAGCCAGAACATTATATTATAGGAAAGGGCATTATATCATATTGGAACACAGGCTTCTAAAATTCCTATACAATACAGGACAATTTCTTTCATTTCTTTCCCTTCCTTCCTTTATTGTCCAACTCTGCCTCTGATTGGCTTTTAACTCTAACCAATCTCCCCGCTCACGCCTTAACCTAACCAATGAAATCATGGAAGTTAACAATTCGCCAATCAGAGGCAGACATGGGCGGGTCATGCTTTTGCAATAGCAGGAATTGTGATTTATCTTACAGAGCTCAACTGTCTCGAGAAGAGTTATTTCACTTTATTACGCCATGGGTCTTCATTTGAAGTTGTGTTCATCTTTCCAAAATAAGAAATTATAAAAGCATCGTACTCACCAGGAAAATTGCGGTGTAACATCGTTTCAAAAAAGAACCAAACCCCAGATATGTCAATGTGATTGAAAGAAGAAACTAAGGCAATCGTTATTATTAGTTATAATAATGGTTAATAATATAATAATTAATAATAATTAATTAATTAATTATTAATTAATATTAATATTATTCATTAATTAATATATATAATATATTAAAGTTTGTAATAAATCAAAAATGAATCTCATCTTCGGCCATTTATTTTCCTCTTAACTATGCTTCTCGGTTTTCTCTAACCACCGAATAAGAACACACAACCCTATCCATTTCCTCTTAC